ATGTCTATGTTACAGATATCTATGTTAGAGATGTCTATGTTAAAGATGTCTATGTTAGAGTTACTCTCTGTATCGTCCTTAAGGTTCTAACTGTTGCTTTAGTTTATGTGAATAGAGCAGTGCCACAGACTGCACAGAAGGACAATGCTAACCGCTAGCTCAGTGAAGCACGCTAGGGAAGTGCTTTCTCTCCCCTCTCCTCACCTCTGCCCTGTTGCATAGACAGATTGATGGATAGACAGACAGACAGACTGAGAGATAGAATATAGAGAGATAGATAGATTGACAGATAGATTGATAGATAGACAAACAGACAGACAGACATATTGACTGACTGATTGACAGATAAATGTCTTGTTTCAGAGCACTTTCAGGTGATCCCGCTCAGCTTCAGTTCGAACCTCGACCACTACAACCCCAACATCCCCGAGTGGAGGCAGGACGTGGGGCAGACGGTCACCAGGATCCTCTCCAGGGTAAGACGCTGTTGCCTTTTGTATGAACTGTGCTATACAATAATACTTCTCTTGCCCACTTGCGGAGGCAGCAGTCTAAGCAGCGGCCCTCACACTTCCCTCTTTTGTTTTGTGTATTATTACTACCAAGTGTAGTTTAGTCTTTGATAATGCGGGAGATTTCTTCTCTGTACACTCACCTGGTCTCTCCTGTGTGTCCAGATCACGGGGGTCCCTCAGGAGTCTCTGGTCACCGTGGTGAAACCGGGGCTCCCCACCTCCGCCGACCTGTACGTACTTCCACGAGACCAGCAGCCGGTCAAACAGAGCCGCTTCGGAGACAAGGTTCAGCTCTCTGCCTCCTCATGTCCATCACTTACACCATGTTAGAGATCGTCACCATGAAGCTCCCAGATATACTGTATTTACCACATTTAGAACTACATTAAAACCAATGGGTGTCTGAGTGCGTGGACCCACCCTTTGGAACAACTTAACAGATAAATGACAGACTCAATTCAAAACCTAGCATCAAATCTGTGAAATCTGAGATATTTTTTTGTTTGGTTTTTTGAGTTTGGACAATTCACAATAGATAGATATATAGATAGATACTTTATTAATCCCTGTAGGAAAAATGCAAAACCATGACCATCGACAAACAAAACAAATAAATTGGTCATTCTAAAAAGCTAACAAAAATACTGATAATAAAAATAAATGATTAAGAGAGATTAAGAAACATGGAGAGGGATTAAGAATAAGTAACGATCGTGTATGATTGCCCCATAGACTGTAAATATTAACGGCTGTAGTCACTCCTATCTCCGCCGTTCTAACTAATGTGCCACAACTTCTGCGGTCTATGGGCAGTTTCAAAATGGCAGCGGGGGCGGGAAAATGTGAAAAAACGCATCTGCGCATGCGTCAGCCGGCACGAGCTCCACAGATATACAGTACCTCCCGCTGAGACCAAACAACCCCGAAAGTCTGGCTTGTAACTTTTGTACAGCTCCAAATGCAAAGTCCTCCTCATCATCCCGCCCCCCTTCCATCTCCCACATCCAAACCCAAGCTTAGACCCTGCTGCGTCGGCAAAGAACATGGAAAAGTGTGTTAAGATTAAGATTAGTCCCAGTGGGGAAATTTCAGTGTTGCATTACAAGTTATAGAACAGTAGAAAAGAAGAGCACACAGCACAGGATAAGTGAAAAATAGCTATAAAATTCAAATAAAACAAAATATCTAACTCTAGCATCAAATAACAAGTATGAAATCTCTGTCTTGAACATAATAAAGAAGTATAAACATTTTAGATTTGGCAAAATAAGAGGCAATTATAAAGTACTGTGTATTCTAGTGGCAGCAGTATGTAGTTATATGTTAGCATCCATCCATGTTAGCATCCATCCATGTTAGCATCCATCCATGTTAGCATCAGTCCATGTTTGCATCCGTCCATGTTAGCATCCATCCATGTTAGCATCCATCCATGTTAGCATCCATCCATGTTAGCATCCATCCATGTTAGCATCCATCCATGTTAGCATCAGTCCATGTTAGCATCCATCCATGTTAGCATCCATCCATGTTAGCATCCATCCATGTTAGCATCCATCCATGTTAGCATCCATCCATGTTAGCATCAGTCCATGTTTGCATCCGTCCATGTTTGCATCCGTCCATGTTAGCATCCACCCATGTTAGCATCCGTCCATGTTAGCATCCACCCATGTTAGCATCCATCCATGTTAGCATCCATCCATGTTAGCATCAGTCCATGTTAGCATCCATCCATGTTAGCATCCACCCATGTTAGCATCCATCCATGTTAGCATCCATCCATGTTAGCATCCGCCCATGTTAGCATCCATCCATGTTAGCATCCATCCATGTTAGCATCCATCCATGTTAGCATCAGTCCATGTTAGCATCCGTCCATGTTTGCATCCGTCCATGTTAGCATCCACCCATGTTAGCATCCACCCATGTTAGCATCCACCCATGTTAGCATCCATCCATGTTAGCATCAGTCCATGTTAGCATCAGTCCATGTTAGCATCCATCCATGTTAGCATCAGTCCATGTTAGCATCCATCCATGTTTGCATCCGTCCATGTTAGCATCCACCCATGTTAGCATCCACCCATGTTAGCATCCACCCATGTTAGCATCCACCCATGTTAGCATCCACCCATGTTAGCAACCACCCATGTTAGCATCCATCCATCATCCATCCATGTTAGCATCCGTCCATGTTTGCATCCGTCCATGTTAGCATCAGTCCATGTTAGCATCCACCCATGTTAGCATCCACCCATGTTAGCATCCACCCATGTTAGCATCCACCCATGTTAGCATCCACCCATGTTAGCATCCACCCATGTTAGCATCCACCCATGTTAGCAACCACCCATGTTAGCATCCATCCATCATCCATCCATGTTAGCATCCACCCATGTTAGCATCCACCCATGTTAGCAACCACCCATGTTAGCATCCATCCATGTTAGCATCAGTCCATGTTAGCATCCACCCATGTTAGCATCCATCCATCATCCATCCATGTTAGCAGCCATCCATATTAGCATCAGTCCATGTTAGCATCCGCCCATGTTAGCATCCATCCATGTTAGCATCAGTCCATGTTAGCATCCATCCATGTTAGCAGCCATCCATATTAGCATCAGTCCATGTTAGCATCCATCCATGTTAGCATCCGTCCATGTTAGCATCCATCCATGTTAGCATCCATCCATGTTAGCATCCATCCATGTTAGCATCCATCCATGTTAGCATCAGTCCATGTTAGCATCAGTCCATGTTAGCATCAGTCCATGTTAGCATCCATCCATGTTAGCATCCATCCATGTTAGCATCCGTCCATGTTAGCATCCATCCATGTTAGCATCAGTCCATGTTAGCATCAGTCCATGTTAGCATCCATCCATGTTAGCATCCATCCATGTTAGCATCCGTCCATGTTAGCATCCATCCATGTTAGCATCCATCCATGTTAGCATCCGTCCATGTTAGCATCCACCCATGTTAGCATCCATCCATGTTAGCATCCGTCCATGTTAGCATCCATCCATGTTAGCATCCATCCATGTTAGCATCCATCCATGTTAGCATCCATCCATGTTAGCATCAGTCCATGTTAGCATCCATCCATGTTAGCATCCGTCCATGTTAGCATCCATCCATGTTAGCATCAGTCCATGTTAGCATCAGTCCATGTTAGCATCAGTCCATGTTAGCATCCACCCATGTTAGCATCCACCCATGTTAGCATCCATCCATGTTAGCATCCATCCATGTTAGCATCCATCCATGTTAGCATCAGTCCATGTTAGCATCCATCCATGTTAGCATCCATCCATGTTAGCATCCGTCCATGTTAGCATCCATCCATGTTAGCATCAGTCCATGTTAGCATCAGTCCATGTTAGCATCCATCCATGTTAGCATCCATCCATGTTAGCATCCGTCCATGTTAGCATCCATCCATGTTAGCATCCATCCATGTTAGCATCTGTTAGCATGTATTTAACCCCGTCCTGTCTCCTCCTCTCCAGCGCATACCGTCCCTGATCCAAGCCTTCAACGACAACAACGTGACGTTCATGGTGCGAGGAGGTCAGCAGGTCCTGGTGATGCTCGCCGACCCCAACGCAGGTACGACTTTTCACACCCAAAAACGCAACTTTTATTTTGAAATATGGACCTCTGTATGCAATGTTACTGACTTTATTTTGAAGGTGTAGAGAGTAGTAATGCGACATCAGCGGCCGCAGCAGACCAGGGTGCGTTTGGAATGTGGTGAATCACGAGTGGATTGAAGTGATATTTAAGAGTGCTGCTGTTTTACTTTCCTGCACTTTATACATTTATTATTCTAAGTTTACAAAGTGTGAAAGTGTCTTTGTTTTGGCCATACATGTTTTTCACTAACAATTGTTAGTGGTTGTGTGAATCCGAACATTGTCAAATGAACGTATTTATTTTACTTTTTAATTATAATTTAACCCAGAAATTGTGTCTGTTGTGGCACCCAACTACTGGCCATAGAGAGACCAGAGAGAGACTAGAGAGAGACCAGAGAGAGACCAGAGAGAGACTAGAGAGAGACCAGAGAGAGACCAGAGAGAGACTAGAGAGAGACTAGAGAGAGACTAGAGAGAGACCAGAGAGAGACCAGAGAGAGACTAGAGAGAGACTAGAGAGAGACCAGAGAGAGACCAGAGAGAGACTAGAGAGAGACTAGAGAGAGACCAGAGAGAGACCAGAGAGAGACCAGAGAGAGACCAGAGAGAGACTAGAGAGAGACCAGAGAGAGACCAGAGAGAGACCAGAGAGAGACTAGAGAGAGACCAGAGAGAGACCAGAGAGAGACTAGAGAGAGACTAGAGAGAGACCAGAGAGAGACCAGAGAGAGACTAGAGAGAGACTAGAGAGAGACCAGAGAGAGACCAGAGAGAGACCAGAGAGAGACCAGAGAGAGACTAGAGAGAGACCAGAGAGAGACCAGAGAGAGACTAGAGAGAGACTAGAGAGAGACCAGAGAGAGACCAGAGAGAGACCAGAGAGAGACCAGAGAGAGACTAGAGAGAGACCAGAGAGAGACCAGAGAGAGACCAGAGAGAGACCAGAGGGAGAGTGAGACCAGAGAGAGACCAGAGAGAGACGAGAGAGAGACCAGAGAAATACCAGAGAGAGACCAGAGAGAGACTAGAGAGAGACCAGAGAGAGACCAGAGAGAGACCAGAGAGAGAGTGAGACCAGAGTGAGACCAGAGAGAGACCAGAGTGAGACCAGAGTGAGACCAGAGAGAGACCAGAGAGAGACCAGAGTGAGACCAGAGAGAGACCAGAGAGAGACAAGAGAGAGATCAGAGGGAGAGTGAGACCAGAGTGAGACCAGAGTGAGATCAGAGAGAAACCAGAGAGAGACCAGAGAAAGATCAGAAAGAGACCAGGGGGAGATCAGAGAGAGAGTGAGACCAGAGTGAGACCAGAGTGAGACCAGAGTGAGACCAGAGTAAGATCAGAGAGAGACCATGGAGAGATCAGAGACAGAGTGAGACCAGAGTGAGACCAGAGTAAGATCAGAGAGAGACCATGGAGAGATCAGAGACAGAGTGAGACCAGAGTGAGACCAGAGAGAGAGACCAGAGAGACCCCAAGCTCTCTCAGATGTTAAATGGGAAATAAACAATGTTGATAAATTGGAGACGGATATTTTTGATCAGTTTTTGTCTTTTTATCATTTGAAAATAGAAAACACAACCACTAGCAACCAGTGATATTGCGTTATTATCCTCCTGGGTGTGTAGACGTTCACCGCTGCATGTGACCAGTGACCAGAGTGTCGTATCTAATATGGTACTATGTTGAATTAGGCTACCACGGTGCAGCCGGAGGTCCAGGTGTATGGGCTGTCTGTGTCCTGTTCCTGGTCAGCGTCATCGCCACCGGCTCCTTCATCCTGTACAAGTTTAAGAGGTGAGAATCTGTGTTTGCTTCAGATGTACGTGCATGATTTCACTGAGCTGCTCCTTTTTTTACGTGTCGTGTCACTTACGAGTCCTTCTGACCAGACCCAATCATCAAACTAGGACTGCAAAGCTAGTCTAGAACATTTGAACTGGAAATAACCAGGAAAATGAACACCAATAGTAAAATGTTGTTCTGTAGCCTCCACACATAAGTTTGTATTTATAGAGTGTTATGGATCATGGCTGGGAAAGGGGGAGGAGCTTAGTCACATGGTCGTGCTACATCTTTAAAGGGACAGAATGGATTATCTTCTGCTGTACCAGGAAGGGACAAGGGAGAGACCAGGGAGGGACCAGAGAGACACCAGAGAGACACCAGAGAGAGACTAGAGAGAGACTAGAGAGAGACTAGAGAGAGACTAGAGAGAGACCAGAGAGAGACCAGAGAGAGACCAGAGAGAGACCAGAGAGAGACCAGAGAGAGACTAGAGAGAGACTAGAGAGAGACCAGAGAGAGACCAGAGAGAGACTAGAGAGAGACTAGAGAGAGACTAGAGAGAGACCAGAGAGAGACCAGAGAGAGACCAGAGAGAGACCAGAGAGAGACCAGAGAGAGACCAGAGAGAGACCAGGGAGAGTGAATAGAAAAAGAGACCAGAGAGAGACCAGGGAGAGTGAATAGAGAACGAGACCATACATAAGTTTTATGTATAGAATGCTATCGATAATGGCTGGGATAGGGTAAGGAGCTTAGTCACATGGAAGGAGCTTGGAGTAGAGCCGCTGCTTCTCCACGTCGAGAGGAGCCAGGTGAAGTGGCTCGGGCGTCTGTTTGGGATGCCTCTTGTTCTGGGCACGTCCCACCAGGAGGAGACTAGAGCAAGACCCAGGACACAGAGGGACTCTGTCTCTCTTTCTGGTCTTCCACTAATGTTTTTTTTTTTTTTTTTTTTACAAGATCAGTTTTCACAACACGATGAATGCATGATCCTTTTTGAACAATATATAATGATTGATAGAAAGAAGGTTAAAATAATGATGATCAAGCCAGAGAGAGAGACCCGAGTTAGAACAGAGAGAGACCAGAGAGAATAGAGAGACCAGAGAGAATAGAGAGACCAGAGAGAATCGAGAGAGACCAGAGAGACCAGAGACCAGAGAGACCAGAGAGACCAGAGAGACTAGAGAGACTAGAGAGACTAGAGAGGCAAGAGAGACCAGAGAGACTAGAAAGACCAGAGAGACCAGAGAGACTAGAGAGACCAGAGAGACTAGAAAGACCAGAGAGACCAGAGAGACTAGAGAGACTAGAGAGGCAAGAGAGACCAGAGAGACTAGAAAGACCAGAGAGACTAGAGAGACTAGAGAGGCAAGAGAGACCAGAGAGACTAGAGAGATCAGAGAGACCAGAGAGAGACCAAAGTAAGAACAGAGAGAGACCAGAAACAGAGAAAATATAATGCATACTTTTTATCAGATGCATCTTTTTTTGTGTTCACTTTTTCACATTACCAAAACAGCCTCGGTCACAAATGTCACTCAAAATGAAAATTGTAAATCAAAGAACTACATCCTCTTACAAAAACTACAAATCCCACAGTCCCTGGCCCCGGACTGAGGACGCGTATCCGCCGCTGTTTTTCAGGAAGCTCCCGGTGAACAGGAACGTGTACGCACAGATGCACAACCAGAAGGAGCAGGAGATGACCAGCCCCGTGTGTCACAGCGACGACACACAACACATCATCCAGGGGGAGGAGTTTATCGACGACGACCTGGACGCACACACGCTAGGTAACGCTGGAGGGAGCCCCGCCTTCCGCGCCCTTATAAGGACTTCCACTAACCACTGCTACTAGAGCCCGCCCCCCTCCTCACACCAGCAGAACCACTCGCGCCAAGGTACAGGAGAGCCGTGTGTGTCTGTGTGTGGGTGTATGTGTGTGTGTGTGCGTGTGGGGTGAGAGAGGATAATAAAAAAAGAGACCCGAGAGAGACCAGAGAGACAGTAGAGAGAGACCAAACAGAGAGGAGAGAGAGACCAGAAAAAGAGACCAGAGAGAGACCAGAAAAAAGAGACCAGAGAGAGATCCTAGAGAGAGACCAGAAAACTGTGTGTGTGTGTGTGGGTGTGCATGTGTGTGTGCATGTGTGTGTGTGTCCATCTGCTGCATGTTGAGATGGATCTCCAAAAGTCAAACGTTCTCCGTTCTTTAAATCAAACTGTGCACAAAGTTTTGTTTCATAGAGATTCATTTTTTATGTTCATACCATGAAGCATGACCTCAGCATGAAGCATGACCAGGACACAGGTACATCTCACATCAGTGCTGCCCTCTGCTGGTCTCTGCTGGCTTTTACCACATCATTAAAGAGACAGAGTGAAATATCTTCTGCTGTACCAGGGAGAGACCAGGGAGGGACCAAAGAGAGACTGGGAAGAACTCGGAAAAGATCAGAGTGACCAGAGAGTGACCAGAGAGAAACCAGAGAGAGGCCAGAGAGACCAGGGAAGGACCAGAGAGGGACCAGAGAGAGAGACTGGGAAGGACTAGGAAGAGACCAGAGTAACCAGAGTAACCAGAGAGTGACCAGAGAGAGACCAGAGAGAGACCAGAAAGAGACAAGAGAGAGACTGGGATGAGACTAGGAAGAGACCAGAGAGACCAGAGTGATCAGAGAGAGAGACTAGAGAGACCAGAAAGGGACCAGAGAGAGTGAATAGAGAGAGAGACCAGAAGGAGAAAGAGACACTTTTGAGGATCTCTCTGCTCCTCAGAGTCCCAGCAGGAGTCCGGTCCATACAAACATACAACTGTGTAACTGTGTGTGCGTTGTGTGTCTCCAGCAGGAAACCATTGTGGTGTGGTCCTGAGCGTCACGTCCAGAGAGCTGCAGAGCTACCTGAGCAGCTGATGCAGCTGCAGCGGTGGCGCTCACAAGGACCGGGAGGCGGGCCCTGGTCTGGACCCGATCTGGGCCTGGTTTGGACCTGATCTTGACCTGATCTGGACCCGGCCCGGGATAAGAGCACAGGGACTCCACTCTGCCTTCCCCCTCTTCCCCACGACTTCTCTCTGTGTCGGACACTGACCTCACCCCTCCAGGACCCTCCCCCTCCAGGACCCTCCCCCTCCAGGACCGACACCCCTCCAGGACCCGCACTTCCTGAGTACTTTCTGAGATCCTGGAGTACTTTGTAAACCTGTAAAAGTACAAAGTACCTGAGGACCACACAATGTACCACTCTCTTTGAGACTTTGCTCACGACATATTTTTTTCCTGAAGTACTTTGTGATTTTTCAGTTTACTTTGTACCGTTTCCCGTTGAGACCGGAGGACTTTGACTTCAACAGCCGGGTTCGAAAGTTTACACACCCGGCCAGAGGCTTCATTGTTACGTTCTTTTTGTGGTTAAAGTCAGACGCCGTCAACTCAATAGTTTGTGCAACGCCTAAGAAGCGTCTGGACCCATCTAGGCCTAAAAAGGTCTGGTCTGGGTCTAAACCAGGACCGTTCAGGTCTGTTCCCTGTTACAATTATGGATAAAGTGTTGAAGGCGATGGTGGATTTGCACTGGTTCCACTGGAGCTGGATCTTGTTCATTAGACATGTGACATCACAGAGACTTTGTTCAAACTGAAACTAGAGCAATAATATGTGTTAGTGTGTCCATCATGTTCAGATTCAAATGGAAACTGTTTGTGGAGAACAAAAACTGACACAAGAATCACAAATAGATACATGATGAAAAGAAAGATACTGATCCTGAAGGAGAAATCCATGTGTCCAGGAGCGGAACAAATACAAGTCACAGCAGCAGAGATGGAGCCGCTTGGTTCAGACCATGAATCCTCTCTGCTCTGGTCTGGACCAGTGTAAAACCATGAATCCTCTCTGCTCTGGTCTGGACCAGTGTAAAACCATGAATCCTCTCTGCTCTGGTCTGGACCAGTGTAAAACCATGAATCCTCTCTGCTCTGGTCTGGACCAGTGTAAAACCATGAATCCTCTCTGCTCTGGTCTGGACCAGTGTAAAACCATGAATCCTCTCTGCTCTGGTCTGGACCAGTGTAAAACCATGAATCCTCTCTGCTCTGGTCTGGACCAGTGTAAAACCATGAATCCTCTCTGCTCTGGTCTGGACCAGTGTAAAACCATGAATCCTCTCTGCTCTGGTCTGGACCAGTGTAAAACCATCAACACTGAACTGCAGCAACATCTCAGGCAGAAAAAAACAAGACAAATAAGAATTGTAAAACACAAAACAACAACTGTTTAACACTTAGGACTTGCTGCAGTTTTCTTGTTCATTTCAAAGTAAATGTGGCCGATAATGATCAAAGAATCTTTACAAAGACAAACAAAAATGTAAAGTTCTTTAAAACAGAGTTTATTTGTTTATTTTTGTGGCAGTTTTGGTTCTTCATTTCCTGTTCCTGCATAAACCAGAGGCTGTTCTGAGGTCTCTGTCCTCCCTTCGCCTCTCCACAGACCTGTTCTGGTCTCTGTCCTCCCCTCGCCTCTCTACAGACCTGTTCTGGTCTCTGTCCTCCCCTCGCCTCTCTACAGACCTGTTCTGGTCTCTGTCCTCCCCTCGCCTCTCTACAGACCTGTTCTGGTCTCTGTCCTCCCCTCGCCTCTCCACAGACCTGTTCTGGTCTCTGTCCTCCCCTCGCCTCTCCACAGACCTGTTCTGGTCTCTGTCCTCCCCTCGCCTCTCCACAGACCTGTTCTGGTCTCTGTCCTCCCCTCGCCTCTCCACAGACCTGTTCTGGTCTCTGTCCTCCCCTCGCCTCTCCACAGACCTGTTCTGGTCTCTGTCCTCCCCTCGCCTCTCCATAGACCTGTTCTGGTCTCTGTCCTCCCCTCGCCTCTCTACAGACCTGTTCTGGTCTCTGTCCTCCTCTCGCCTCTCCACAGACCTGTTCTGGTCTCTGTCCTCCCCTCGCCTCTCCACAGACCTGTTCTGGTCTCTGTCCTCCCCTCGCCTCTCCACAGACCTGTTCTGGTCTCTGTCCTCCCCTCGCCTCTCCACAGACCTGTTCTAGTCTCTGTCCTCCTCTCGCCTCTCTACAGACCTGTTCTGGTCTCTGTCCTCCCCTCGCCTCTCTACAGACCTGTTCTGGTCTCTGTCCTCCTCTCGCCTCTCCATAGACCTGTTCTGGTCTCTGTCCTCCCCTCGCCTCTCACAGACCTGTTCTGGTCTCTGTCCTCCCCTCGCCTCTCCACAGACCTGTTCTGGTCTCTGTCCTCCCCTCGCCTCTCTCACAGACCTGTTCTGGTCTCTGTCCTCCCCTCGCCTCTCTACAGACCTGTTCTGGTCTCTGTCCTCCCCTCGCCTCTCCACAGACCTGTTCTGGTCTCTGTCCTCCCCTCGCCTCTCTACAGACCTGTTCTGGTCTCTGTCCTCCCCTCGCCTCTCCATTAGGTCGCCGTCACGGAGGGAAGTGTTTTTCCCTGATTCAGCCTATATTAGGCCACGCCCACAGGTGGAATCGCTGATGTAAATGTGTAAATAGGAACAATCTCGACTTTTGTTTTTGTACATAATCTCCTTCTGACTTGTGTGTGTGTCTTTTACACGGCTCCACACACACACACAAACACACACACGCACAGGTCGCACCATTTCACCGTGTTTTCAGCCCGAGGGGGTCACGGCGGCCATGTTTTCATAGCGACAGGGCGGTGACCTGGGCGAGCTGTTTTTTATTCACTCAAACCTGTGCAGTTTATTTTCACACACATAAAAAAATAAAATAGCTTATAGGAATTCCAATCCTCTCTCTGGTATGAGACAAAATTAGACAACACACACAAACGCACACAGAGAAGGAATTTTCATACGGTAAAAATATTAGAACTAGTTTTGTAAAAATGTCTGCACTTTTTGTGGCTCATTTAATGTTTGAAGCTTTTTTGAAGACGAATGGGGAAAACTTTCACTCTCTAGATGTGCAAATCCTGTCATCTCGAAAGGTCGGAGATTAAGGGACATATACACACAGAAAGACACGGACAAAATGTGCCCTTCCCTGTCACATAAACTTCTTTATACAATCTCAGATATTTTTTTGTACAACTTTATCTACAAGACTTTAAACCATTTTATTATCACTTCTTTTCCCGCCTTTTCTCTTTTGCGTTCCCCAAACCCGCTTCTGCGTCCGGAAACATGGCCGTGGATCCTCAGCGGTCAAACGTAGAAGATATTTTTGATACACTCTGAGACAGACCCGTGTCGCTGTGAGCACCGTGTCTGGACAAAAACACATTTGTATTTTTGCACTAATGACGTAACAGGAAGTCTCATGTACTTTTGCTTTTCGGCGGTTTGGTATCCACCTCTTTTGTACATACTTGTGTCTGAGCCATGGATCCTCGTCCACAGCGAGGGAAAAGACTTTGAAATCATTGTTTAGTTTGGAATTCAAAAAATGTGTTGGATTTGTTGACTCCTCATCACCTGCATTTTGAATAAACCACTTCCATAACTTGGAAATGTGTTTGTTTTTTTATTTAAAACACTGTATGTCATAAGAGCCATAAGAGATGAGAAAATATTTACAACACACCAGTTTGATATCGAGTTATACCGGACGTTACCTGTACTTCCTCTTGTCATCTCTCTGCTGTTCACATAAACACACAAGAAGCAGGAATGTGCGGTATGTCACCAGCTCTGGAGTGGTGTTTGCATGTTCTCCCTGCGTCATACTAGTAAGTAAGGGGCAGAATCTGGGATCATCCTGGTTAAATACAGGCCAAAATTACAAAACATTTTGATATAACATTTATGTAAAGAATGTTTCAAGACCAAGGTCACTCAAACGTTTTAAGTTCAGATATTTTTTCCTTCTTCCAAACAGATTTATATAAATTTAAACGTTCTTCAATTAATGTAAATGTGCAGCTTTTTAAATGTATTTTCTGTGAAGGACAAATCTGCAGCTCTGTGTCTCTACCATAGACTGTATATGTCTCTACGCAGGTTCAATTCCAATAACTTTGGAATGTAGTTCATTTCTGTATTGCCCAAAATCAAAGTAGTTCTCTCGGAGGTAGATTCTCCGGCAACAGATCAGAGAATCAGTTCAAACTCAGGAAATGCAACGATAAGCTGAGCCATTGGTCCATGAGCGGTGGATATATTTATAAATGTAAATACATGTCTGTGTGAATCCAGGAACATTATTTTAAAAAGCCACAGACGCAGTTTTGTTTTTGGTTTTGTCAGAAGTTTATTGAGCTCTGTACAGAAGCGACTCCGAGCTGGAGCCGGTCGGATTCATGGGCAGAAGAAGAAGAAGAGAATAAGGTGCTAAACAAAAGTCTGGTCCACACCACAGCGCCCCCTGGAGGACACTCACAGGTAAAACAGATGAAGGAGAGATTTATCCACTTTTAGTTTTATTTATAATCAAAATGTTATAGATGGAAATCAAGAATTTTAGTTCATCTTTCAAAAGTAAATGAATAATAATAATAATATAATAATCTAAAACCACTCTTTCATTCCCGGGTTTGTTTTCCCACTCACAAATATAAGTCAACTGTTGGATTGTGTGATACACATGTATCAAAATACATGTGTGAGAAAATATCAGTGGGTTAAAAATATTTAATAAAACCATAGAAATATATTCACTATGATTGAGACCAAAGAGAGAGAGAGACCAGAGAGAGAGACCAGAGAGGGACCAGCGAGAGAGAGACCATAGAGAAAGGCCAGAGAGAGAGAAACCAGAGTAAGAGAGAGAGCCCAGAGAGAGAGAGGCCAGAGTAAGAGAGAGATTCCAGAGAAAGAGATAGAGACCAGAGAGCGAGAGAGATAGAGACTAGAAAGAGACTCCAGCGAGAGAGACCAAAATGACAAGCTGCAGGTTTCCGTCCGATAACATTGAGGTTTTTGGGGAAATCATTCTCGCCCCCTTTTTTTTTTTCAACCTTTTTCTAATCTGTTTTCAAATTACTTTTTGATAATGATATTAAACTTATTCTTAATTCATTTTTAATTTCAGTAAAATCTTGTCAAAAAGTATCACAAAAGTAAATAAATCTCTCCTGGTCACAGAACATAATATGTTAAATATGAACTTTTCTTCCAAACAAATGCTACAATCTGACAAAAAACCTGTGAGAAAAGTCGAGTTGGAGATTTTGAACGAGACTCGACGAGATTTGAGAGAAAATGATTAAAATCCTGAACGTTTCTCCTTCACTTTGAACGAGACGCAGATTCTTTGGAGTTCAATATAAATAACAAACATTTACAAATAAATATATAGGAAGACGTTGGACTCGGTTCTGTACAAAAGGTTTTGGAAAAGTCTGGATAAAAAGTGTAAAAAAGACAGAAACAAGAAAAAAAAACGTCTGTGTCAAAACTAAAAAACCATAATTACAGTTTGTACAGATTCATGCTGCGGGCGTTCAATAAATATATACACAATATTTACAAAATCACGAGGAGCCCACGGTTTAGGTCCCGCTCTTCTCCTCCCACTCCTGCAGAAAGGAGAGGGAGAAGGTGAGAGAGAGAGAGAGAGAGAAGAGAGAGGAGAGAGAAGAGAGAGGAGAGAGAGAGGAGAGAAGAGGAGAGAAGAGAGAAGGGAGAGAGAGAACAGAGGCGAGAGAAGAGAGAGAGAGGAGAGAGAGGCGAGAGAGGAGAGAGAGAGGAGAGAGAGAGGAGAGAGGAGAGAGGAGAGAAGAGAGAGAAGAGAAGAGAAGAGAAGGGAGAGAGAGAGGAGAGAGAAGAGAGAGGAGAGAGAGAAGAGAAGAGAAGGGAGAGAGAGAGGAGAGAGAAGAGAGAGGAGAGAGAGAAGAGAAGGGAGAGAGAGAGGAGAGAGGCGAGAGAAGAGAGAGGAGAGAGAGAAGAGAGAGGATAGAAGAGAGGAGAGAGAGTAGAGAAGGGAGAGAGAGGAGAGAGGCGAGAGACAGAGAGAAGAGAGAGAGAGAGGAGAGAAGAGAGAGAAGAGAGGGGAGAGAGAAGAGAAGGGAGAAGAGAGAGGCAAGAGAAGAGAGAGAAGAGAGGAGAGGAGAGAAGAGAGGAGAGAGAGAAGAGAAGGGAGAGAGAGAACAGAGGCGAGAGAAGAGAGAGAGAGGAGAGAGAAGAGAGAGGAGGGAGAAGAGAGAAAAGAGAGGAGAGAGAGAAGAGAAGGGAGAGAGAGAGGAGAGAGAGAAGAGAAGGGAGAGAGAGAGGAGAGAGGCGAGAGAAGAGAGAGAGAGGAGCGAAAGAGAAGAGAGAGAAGGAGGAGAGAAGAGAGAGATAAGAGAGAGGAGAGAGAAGAGAAGGGACAGGAGAGCGGCAAGAGAAGAGAGCGAGAAGAGAGAGAGAGAGAGAGGAGAGGTAATTATTTATTTGAATGTTTATCTTTTTACAACATGCACATCTCTTATGGTCACTACAGCAGATTTATGGTCACGTCACTGACCTTGGCCTTGCGGAGCACGTGACCTCTGGCGGTCGCAGGTTTCTGGGCCGCATGTCTCCGCAGCAGAGACGCGCTGTTCACCGGGAGGAGCCCACTGTCTGAGGCGCAGTCCCGGGACTCACCAGCAGAGGGCGCTGTGGAGCTGTGAGCACGGCGCACTGCTACAGGAGACTGGAGACACACAAACACACAGACGCACACACACACAGTCGCACACAGACACACGAGCAGAGACACAAAAACACACACACGAAAAGGAGACATTATAATACAGTAAAAAATCTGGTCCAGTGTCATAAACACTTCTGCACTTTATGTCTGGTCTCCCTCTCCTTCTCCTCCTCTCCTCCTCCTCTCCTGCTCCTCCTCTCCTGGTCCTCCTCTCCTGCTCCTTCTCTCTCTGGTCAGTCTCTCCTTCTCCTGGTCTTCTCCTGCTCCTTCTGGTTTCCCTCTCCTGCTCCTCCTCCTCTCCTGCTCCTTGTCTTCTCCTGTTCCTGGAAGGGCAGGAGGGGGTGCTCCACCTCCCCTCCTGACCCTCCTCTCCTGCTACTCCTCTCCTGCTCCTCCTCCTCTCCTACCCCTCCTCTCCTGCCCCTCCTCCTCCTCCTCTCCTGGTCTCCTCACCTGCAGGGCTGAGGAGGAGGTCTTGGGCTCGATGGTCAGTCCCAGAGTGACTCCTCCGCTCAGGGCTTTCTTCAGACTCTCCTTCACCTCCGTCATCTCCAGCTCCAGGTTCACTCGCTCCTCCTCCTTCAGACGACACTCCTCCTCCACCTTCTTCAGCCGCTCGGTCAGAGACGACTGCGACCGTTTACCTGCGACACCAAAACGTCACAGAAACGTCACCAAACTAATCATTTTCTAATTTTCACAGCAGAAGAAGAAGACATAATTGTGAAAAATAATTGGTCTTAATAATTATTCTTTGTTAATTTTGGTACAGTTTTGGTTCAGTCTAAGGATGTATAAATGAGCTACAAAAAAAAAAGATAAATATAAAGTTAAATAAAAGTAATTATTTGGTCAAAACACATAATTTAAATGAAAGAAATTAAAATGGTCGGATGCAAAAGAAACCAAGAGAGACTGTTTTAGTAGACTAAAAACAGTTGTAGCCCTGGATCAGAGTGTGATCCCAGGGTCTGTCCAGTCTGGTGAGGGAGTACATGAGCCTCAGCACGCAGAGAGGGTGCAGTACCAGTGGCAGCATCCAGGGCGGCGCGCAGGTCCTTCCGCTCCTTCTTCAGCTGGCTCAGGTGGCTCCTGATGTCCTGCTTCCTCTTCATCAGTTCGTCCTCTTTGGCCTGGAGGCGTTTGGCGTCGGCCTCCACACGGTTCTTCCCGTACTTGTACTGCTCCGAGCCTGTGGCACAGAGGCGGCAGTAAGAGGCAGTTTTAATCGTTTAGCGCAATTTCGACCTGATGAGTTGTACGTCTTCTGCTGACCCTGCTGTTTCAGAGATTTAGGATTCTAAAGAGTGAAACCAAGTATTTTATTATCTTGTGTCATAGATCAATTCTGCAGTACCTCCAAGATTTAGTAGCAATGAGACACACATTCATAGCCCTGACATGGAAGCTAACAGCTAAGATGCTAACATGCATGCTAACGTGAGCTAATGTTTTCCTCCTGTTATTTACTTGTTACTGTTTAAGTTCATTAAGGAAACCCTATTTTCGAGGGGGTCCTAAACATAAATACAAACATGTAAAGGTACATACACACACAATTTACTGCGAATTAAGGATGAGAAAAGATAAGAGAGAGAGAAGAGAGAGAGAAAGGAGAGAGAGAGAAGAGAGAGAGGGGAGAGAAGAGAGAGATAAGAGAAGAGAGAGAAAGGAGAGAGAGAGGAGAGAGGCGAGAGAAGAGAGAGAAGAGAGGAGAGAGAGAAGAGAAGGGAGAGAGAGAGGAAAGAGGCGAGAGAAGAGCGAGAGAGAGAGAGAAGAGAGAGAGGGAGGAGAGAAGAGAGAGATAAGAGAGGAGAGAGAAGAGAGAAGAGAAGAGAGAAGAGAGAGGAGAGAGAAGAGAGAGAAGAGAGAGGGAGAAGAGAGAGAGGGAGGAGAGAAGAGAGATAAGAGAGAGGAGAGAGAAGAGGTCAGTATTTATTTGAATGTTTATCTTTTCACAACATGCACATCTCTTATGGTCACTGCAGCAGATTTATGGTCACGTCACTGACCTTGGCCTTGCGGAGCACGTGACCTCTGGCGGTCGCAGGTTTCTGGGCCGCGTGTCTCCGCAGCAGAGACGCGCTGTTCACCGGGAGGAGCCCACTGTCTGAGGCGCAGTCCCGGTACTCACCAGCAGAGGGCGCTGTGGAGCTGTGAGCACGGCGCACCGCTACAGGAGACTGGAGACACACAAGCAGAGACACACAGTCGCACACAAACACACGAGCAGTGACACACACACACACACACACAGTCGCACACACACACGAGCAGAGACACAAAAACACACACACAGACGCACATGAAAAGGAGACATTATAATACAGTAAAAAATCTGGTCCAGTGTCATAAACACTTCTGCACTTTATGTCTGGTCTCCCTCTCCTTCTCCTCCTCTCCTCCTCCTCTCCTGGTCCGCCTCTCCTGGTCCTCCTCTCCTGCTCCTTCTCACTCTGGTCAGTCTCTCCTTCTCCTTGTCTTCTCCTGTTCCTGGAGGGGCTGCTCCTCCTCCTCTCCTGCCCCTCCTCTCCTGCTCCTCCTCCTCTCCTGCTCCTCCTCCTCTCCTGCTCCTCCTCCTCTCCTGGTCTCCTCACCTGCAGGGCTGAGGAGGAGGTCTTGGGCTCGATGGTCAGTCCCAGAGTGACTCCTCCGCTCAGGGCTTTCTTCAGACTCTCCTTCACCTCCGTCATCTCCAGCTCCAGGTTCACTCGCTCCTCCTCCTTCAGACGACACTCCTCCTCCACCTTCTTCAGCCGCTCGGTCAGAGACGACTGCGACCGTTTACCTGCGACACCAAAACGTCACAGAAACATCACCAAACTAATCGTTTTCTAATTTCCACAGCAGAAGAAGACATACTTGTGAAAAATAATTGGTCTTAATAATTATTCTTTGTTACTTTTGGTACAGTTTTGGTTCAGTCTAAGCATGTATAAATGAGCTACAAAAAAAGATAAATATAAAGTTAAATAAAAGTAATTATTTGGTCAAAACAGATAATTTAAATGAAAGAAATTAAAATGGTCGGATGCAAAAGAAACCAAGAGAGACTTTGTTATAGTAGACTAAAAACAGTTGTAGCCCTGGATCAGAGTGTGATCCCAGGGTCTGTCCAGTCTGGTGAGGGAGTACATGAGCCTCAGTACACGGCCTGGGTACTTTTGGTCTGTCCAGTCTGGTGAGGGAGTACATGAGCCTCAGCACGCAGAGAGGGTGCAGTACCAGTGGCAGCATCCAGGGCGGCGCGCAGGTCCTTCCGCTCCTTCTTCAGCTGGCTCAGGTGGCTCCTGATGTCCTGCTTCCTCTTCATCAGTTCGTCCTCTTTGGCCTGGAGGCGTTTGGCGTCGGCCTCCACACGGTTCTTCCCGTACTTGTACTGCTCCGAGCCTGCGGCACAGAGGCGGCAGTGAGAGGCAGTTTTAATCGTTTAGCGCAATTTCGACCTGATGAGTTGTACGTCTTCTGCTGACCCTGCTGTTTCAGAGATTTAGGATTCTCAGGAGTGAAACCAAGCATTGTTTAAAGTATTTTATGATCTGTCATAAAATTAAATCTGCAGTACCTCCAAGATTTAGTAGCAATGAGACACACATTCATAGCCCTGACATGGAAGCTAACAGCTAAGATGCTAACATGCATGCTAACGTGAGCTAATGTTTTCCTCCTGTTATTTACTTGTTACTGTTTAAGTTCATAAAGGAAACCCTATTTTCGAGGGGGTCCTAAACATAAATACAAACATGTAAAGGTACATACAAAAACAATTTATAGCGAATTAAGGATGAGAAAAGATAATTACAAAAATAAAAAACTAAAACGCTCCTTCGCTCCCTACTCCTTCCCTCTACTAAAATTAAACATTTAGAAAGAGGCAAAGTAAAAACTGTAAACAATAATGACAGACACAGAACATTAGTGACATAAGCAGAAGTTTTAAGGAACCTAAAGAGTTCCAACTTAAAAAAACCAAAAGACATAATCGCTCGTGTGGATGTGGGGACTGTTGCTGCTGATGGTGCTTTGTGCGCAAGTTAAGACTAATGTGGCTGCTGCTAAATAGTGCTCTGTGTGGGAATCAGAATGTCGCTTCTGTTGCTAAATAGTGAGCTCTGTCCAAAGTCGGCTTAAGGTTTATATTTAAATGTGACTTATTTTTTACGAACAGCAGTGACTTTTCTTTAAAGACCTTATGACGGGTTTTAAAAAAAAAAATAGTGGATATCAAAATTGCATGACAATGTCAATTTGAAAGAGATTCCGGCAAAAAAAATCCTATATTTTATAAAAAGAACGTGTTTTTCATGAATTTAAGTTGTCTATGCTCTGACCTGTGTGTGACGTCATAGCGGGTTACGCCCATGCATTGAAAACCATGGATCTATGCCACAGGACTGCCTTTTCTCTCTTCTCTCCACTGATGCCCAACACAATACTGCCCTCTACAGGTGACAATTGCTCACTACACATAAATTGCCGTTTTGAGTGTGAAAAAGTGTCCGAGGTGGGAACTGAACCCAAGTACCTGGATTGGCAGGCCATCGACACAACCACTGGACTATCTCAGTGAAAACAAAATGTTACATTCTAGTAGTTATCTTAGACTCGCTGTACACGGCCTTGTCATCTTGAATATCCGCGAAAAAAGAACGAATACCAAATTGTAAACAACTTACAGCGTTGAAACGTACCCGTTCTGACGTCACCAAGGGCTGTGAAGTTTTTTCGTTTCTAAGGGCGTTGCTATGGGGTTATTTCGATTTGGGGGGATCAGACAAAAAAAACAACTGATTTTGAAACCTTTAGTAGTTCTCTTCTAATATAAAATGGTATTAAAACTGTATTCCGTCATAAGGTCTTTAACATGAGCTGATGCGGTGTAGATACAGCTTATTCTTACAGATGGCAGGTGTACGTTTACTCACTGGAGCTGTTCCGTCTCAGAGTGGAGGCTCCGCTGGTGGCGCTCACACCGTTCACACCATTCTTCTTGCTCTGGTTCTTGGCGTCCGACTTCTGCTTGGAGCTCACGCCGTTCGTGGCTGGACCCCGTCTGCTCTGCTGCTGATTTTAACACCAATACAATTATTTTAAGCAGAAAAAAAAACGTTCAAAGAATAGCTGTCCTGTGGTTAAAGCCAGTTTTAGTTCAGAGCTAATGTGTCTCTGTAACTCCTGGGCCAATCCAGACTGGGCCGTGCTGGGTACAGTAGTGCTAGGTGCGCTCTACGGCCTGGAAACTCAGGTCAGAACTTTTGAAACAACTTTAAAGACCAGAGAGAGACAAGAGAGACCAGAGTGAAACCAGAGAGAGAGACCAGAGTGAAACCAGAGAAAGAGACCAGAGAGAGAGACGGGGGAGAGACTAAAGAGAGACCAGAGAGAGTGACCAGAAAGAGCCGGGGAGGGACTAAAGAGACCAGAGAGAGACCAGTGGGAGACCCGCAAGACCAGAAAGAGCGCAGCGGGAGACTAGAAAAAGACTAGAGCAGGACAGAGAGCTAGTGGAAGACCGCAGTAGTCCTCAGACCTGATCTCCACAGTGGACACACAAAGCCATAACATAAAGCTCATATTTAACACAGATTTTTCTCCAAACCTCACCTCGTCCTTATGGGGCTCTGTCTTCCCACACACACAGAGACCCAGCGGGGGGCCGCAGACTCGGGGTCCCTACAACACTCTGCGGTCGCACTTGTGGCTTTTAATTCCAGGCCATAAAAATAGAAATTACACACAGTCCTTCCCGCTGCTTTGTACCCGGCTTAGGAACACAATGGGCCTTTTTAGACGGATTCAGGAGGTTTGTTGCGGCGATAGAAGTGGTGGAGGCTCTGACCGCGGTGGGGGACCTCTAAACCATGTGTGAGCTTGTATATGTGTTGTACTTTTGTGATGTGGGGTATTTTAGTTTGTAGTTTTACTTATTGTTAGACATACGTGTACATTGGTCCCTCATTTGTTGCCAAGAGTGAAGTAGTGGGAGTAGCAGCTGTGTTTTAAGGCTGTAAAACCCTAACACTTCAGACACTTTTCTAACCACCTGAACTCACGACTGAGATGTGAGAGAGACCAGAGAGAGAGAGCAGAGAGAGAGCAAAGAGAGAGACCAGAGATACTAGAGAGAGACCAGAGAGACCAGAGAGACCAGAGAGATCAGAGAGACCAGAGAGGTGACCAGAGGTACTAGAGAGAGACCAGAGAGAGACTAGAGAGAGAGCAGAGAGAGAGACCAGAGAGAGGACAGAGAGACCAGAGAGACAAGAGAGAGAGAACAATGAGACCAGAGAGAGAGAAACCAAAGTGAGACCAGAGTGAGACCAGAGAGAAACTAGAGAGAGACCTGAGAAAAAGACGCAAAGAGACGCGAGAGAGACCAGGGTGAGAATAAAGGGACTAAAGAGACCAGCGAGAGAGACCAGTGAGACTAGAAAAAGACCAGAGCAGGACAGAGAGCTAGTGGAAGACCGCAGTAGTCCTCAGACCTGATCTCCACAGTGGACACACAAAGCCATAACATAAAGCTCATATTTAACCCAGATTTTTCTCCAAACCTCACCTCGTTCGAGATCAGAGAGAGACCAGAGGTACTAGAGAGAGAGTCCGTTATATGCTGTTGGAGTTTACACATGAGACATACAGCTCTACTAAAACATGTGATTATTAGCTTTAAACAGCACAGAGACAGACCAGAGGGTTAGTACCTTAGTAGTTTCTTTGTTTTTGGCGTCAGCAGAGAGAAACTTAGAGGAGACTTTAGACACAGGCTGTTTGTTGTCAGCAGCAGCAGTAGTGTTAGCAGGAGGATAGCGAGAGGCTAGCGCTTTAGCTGTAGCAGTGGTAGCTTTAGCAGGACAACGAGAGGCCAGAGGTTTCGCTGCAGGCTTGTCATACAGCTCTGCGTTCTCATAGTGCGTGTCCTCTGTGGGCAGACGGCGCCCTCTGGAGGGGGGGACGGAGTATGCGTCGGGGTCCTGAGCGCGTGAGGAGATTCAGACAGAAGCAAAGACACAGAGGAGCGAGGAGTTAAAGAGAGACAGAGAAGGTTAGTTTGGATCAGTTTGCAGATTAAAATCATTCACGTGCAAAGGGTGAGATCATGAGAGAAAAGGATCATTTATCTATTCTGTAGCACACAAATGCAGTGAGAGAGAGAGCGAGAGAGAGAGACATGCACAGAGAGAGAAAGAGACACACACAGAGAGAGACACACACACACACACAGAGTGACAGACAGAGCGAGAGAGAGACACACACACGCAGAGACAGACAGAGAGAGAGAGAGACACACACACAGAGAGCAGGGGGAGAGAGATACAGAAAGAGAGAGAGAGAGCCACATACACACACACAGAGTGACAGACAGAGCGAGAGAGAGACACACACACAGAGAGCAGGGGGAGAGAGATACAGAAAGAGAGAGAGAGAGAGCCACATACACAAAGAAAGAGGTTGAGAGACACAGAGAGAGAGATTCACACACACACACACACACACACACACAGAGAGAGAGACAGACAGAATGACGGACAGAGCAAGACAGAGAGAGAGAGAGATACACACAGAGAGACAGAGAGAGAGAGACACACACACAGAGAGACAGAGAGAGACACACACACACACACACACAGAGGCAGAGAGAGAGAGAGAGACACCACACACAAAAACCCAGATTATTTCCTTCCCTGCTCTATTCCTTGCTTGCTTCCAAATAAAAATTATAAGTGTCCTGATGGATCCAGGTCGTCGGGGGGGGGGGGGGTCTTACCATTCCGTTGATGGGGACGTCGTCGTAGTGCAGGGCCATCCCCGTGGGACAGGAGTAACCGTTCACCGGAGACACCGCACGTTTACTGGTGAAGCTGGAACCACAGGATTCAGTCAGACCGGATCATACGCGACCACTGCCACGTTCATAGTATTTCATTTTCAAAGGGGTACCAGAAGGACTGCTTGGCTAGCTGGATGACGTTAGCCGTAGTCTCCACATCGATGTAGTCGTAGTGGAGCGTGGCCGGGTCCGTGGTGGAGCCGGTCTCAGCCAGGAGGACCCCCAACCAGCGGCCCATGTCCTGAGAGGAGGACGCCTGCACACACAACCCCACACGTTACCCACAACTTCAGATTCTCAAGTTAGGCTGCTCTTTTTGGCATATTTCATTACGTTTACAAAGGACAAGCAAAAACCAGAACACTAGTGCGGTGACGGAGGTGTGAAAACCCAGTCTCTTTGGTGGAACTAGTTTGAACCGTTTTAACCGTAGTTACTCTGGCATGTAAGAACGTAGACCGGATACTACTGAGACAAGGCCATCAGATATATTTAAGAGCGCAGGGAAAAGTCTGTATGCATGGATTTGGACACAAACAAGAGACACGTTTCATGGTTTTGGTATAGCATATTTTCTTTAGCGTACTCTGTATTCTTATGCTTTGTAAACGCACTCTCTGTGTCACTAATGGAGGAAGATGCGAGACTGAGCCTTCTGAACCCTGAGGACCGAGCCTTCTGAACCCTGAGGACTGAGCCTTCTGAACCCTGAGGACTGAGCCTTCTGAACCCTGAGGACTGAGCCTTCTGAACCCTGAGGACCGAGCCTTCTGAACCCAAAGGACTGAGCCTTCTGAACCCTGAGGACTGAGCCTTCTGAACCCTGAGGACCGAGCCTTCTGAACCCTGAGGACTGAGCCTTCTGAACCCTGAGGACCGAGCCTTCTGAACCCTGAGGACTGAGCCTTTGCTGCAGCTGCCCCCACTCTCTGCGTCTCACTTTCACAACCTGGAACTCTGACTCACTTCAGAACCTTCACATCACTGCTTTATCTTTAACTTCCTTTTGCAAAGCGTCTTTGAGAGTCCAAAAAAAACGCTACGTAAGAATTATGTGTTCAGCTACTATTTTCATTATCAAGAAACCACATTTCTTCCATTGTCCACTGTCCCCTTCTTCCTCTGGCCTCATTGCTTCATAACGACACAGATCTGGAGCCCAACATGAGATGTACCTCGAGCACTGCCACCTCCTGGGCGTTGCGCAGCAGGCGGAAGGCGAAGGGGTGTTTGTGGTCCAGGCCGGGGGACACCTCACACCCCCTCAGAGGCAGAGAGGCCATGTGGCTCTTCAGGTCGTCCCGGTCTTTATGCAGCAGCAGCTGGTTGTCCCGCAGCCGGCACCAGCGCTCACGCCACCGGTTATTGGACAGAACGTTCAAGTATCCTGCAGGAGGAAGAGGAGGAAGAGGAGGAGGACCACGGCTTTAGAACAGGAGGGTGAGACGACTAGCAAACATACACAAACAGAAGGAAGAAATAATTATACTCTTAGGATTTGGATCTGAATCAAAGAGGAAACCCACGATCCACTTCAAACCCTCTTAAAGGTACATTGGATTTTCTAATCCGGGTGGATCATCAAGACTATTGGTCCTCCTCCTGTCAATCATTCTGGTGATACGTGCTCTTCTGTTTTTCAAAAAGTGGAGTGGACGATTCTTTCCTAAAATTCGGGAATATCCTCCTATTTCCCTTTAATAAATGCGTTTGTTGGCTGTTATCGGAGAGACGATTGAAGACATTATCAGATAGTGGTGGAGGAAAAACAATTCTGTTCAGTATCGCTATATCATCAATATCGCGATATGAATTAAATACTCGCATTTGCGTTGTATATCCACAAGAGGGCGCTTGTCGTGGTGCTTTATTTTTGTGCAAACGTGTTGAAAATGAGATGCTGTGTCTCAAGGGCGTTTCCCAAATAAATCTAATCAAAAATCAATCAAATCCAAACTGTGGTGCTCACAAATGAAGGAAACTGTCATGTTTTACTCACAGCTGTTGGATGTTGTTGGAGAAGACACGGGGCGCACTTAAGATTAGAATGTTATCGTTCTAATAAGTCATATGTGGCTAAAACATATATAGATATACTGAAATGATTGTATTTTAATTGACCTTGGCTCCTGTCGGTCTGGGCCGAGGGGGTTTGTATGTTAATCCATTTGCCAGGAGGAAGCAGGCTTTGTATACGCTAATAAAGACTTATAATAAGATCTTTTGTTCTCCCTAAATGCAGATGAAGGTGTGTCTTGTTGACCAAAATCAGTTGCATTGTTCTCCAAGGTCAGACAGGCTGAGCTGCTCTGTGCTCTCTCCTCTAAGGCCCTGTCCACACGAAGTCAAGCTCAGGCCTAAACGCAAAAATACTTTATCAATCCAGTGTATCGTCCATACGAGGCCGGCGTTTTGGGGGGGTGTAAACGAACATTTTTGAAAGTAGGTCCCAGAGTGGAAAGATTTCAAAACTCCGTATATGCCGCTCCGTGGTAACTGCCTCTCCGCAATGTATCTGAGACGCTTGCGTCATCGCCCCGCCTCTTGTTAAAGCAGCATGTGCCGCACTCAGAAAATAATGACAACAACAATGTAGCTTGTTGGTTTTGTAATCCAGTGTGACCCGAAGCAACAGTTCAACCTCATCGTCCGTCCATACTAATGTAGTACCAGCTCGCCCACTTGCCATGTTGTCTGTTTACAAAATTCTGCGCATGCCCAGTTCCCGTCACGGAAGTTTGGGCTTGATCCCGTCATTGCGTCACAGCGCCACCAACAGGTCTGGCATAGTTTCACAGCGTTTTCAGGCGTATTGACTACATTCATATGGACGCACACATTTACTGAGCTAACTCCGTGTTTACAGAAAAAGTTTCTGAAATTATAAGCGTTTTGTCTTCGTGTGGATATAGCCTAAAACAACCAAGTCATAAAGAATGCCAGAACTAAGCCATTTAGGTGTGTGCGATTTTGTCCAGGTTTGACTGTAGTTAAATATCAGCATTAATAAAATTGCACAAACAAAAATCCACAAAACTGCAAAAGGTGAACTGCGTTGAACCACAGTTGTTCCAAAATCCTTCATGGTGAAACTGTCCAGAATTTGAAGCTTGGTAGTTGCGGTGATTGTAACTCGCTCACCACACGTGGGGACGTCCTCTTCAGCCGAGGACGTCTGCTCGTCGGTGGACGGCTTCTTCTTCCCCAGACCCATGATCTTTGTGATCTTCATCCCAGCTCCACGTCCCACTGTCCCGCTCTTCTGCTCCGACTTTGAGCTCTTCTTCCCCTTCCCTGGACACAAACAACGGTCATCGCTTATTTTCATTGTCCCTAATTTTCTATCTTTATTCAATCATTCTACACAGACATGTCAAAGCAGAATGTTTTGAGATATTAAGATGGATTGTCCTGGGTCTACAGCCTCAGTTCTGGATCCACAGCCTCAGTCCTGGGTCTACAGCCTCAGTCCTGGATCTACAGCCTCAGTCCTGGATCTACAGCCTCAGTCCTGGATCTACAGCCTCAGTCCTGGATCCACAGCTTCAGTACTGGGTCTACAGCCTCCGTCCTGGATCTATAGCCTCAGTCCTGGATCCACAGCCTCAGTCCTGGGTCTTCAGCCTCAGTCCTGGCTCTACAGCCTCAACAGATTGGGGCTAAAGAATAATTTGTATTTTTTTGGTATTCTAGTAATATAAACAGATTTTCAGGCAAACCCTTCCAAAGAACCAGCATTTTTCAATAAAAGGTGTGGTCATTGTCAGTTCCGTGGCCTGAAACCACAAGATTACGTAATGAACGTTTTTGAATGAATCCCAAAACCAAATATGGTCCTGTGTTTAGCTGATTTCTGTTCTTTCTGTTTGGACCATGCCTCCGTCCCAGCATGCTTTGCCTGCAGAGCTGTGGATGGGAGGGGTCTGATCCAGAGGGAAGACAGGGGAACTCACACCGGCACTGGGCAGTCTGAGGCAGTCCTGTGGTCAGTCCTGTGGTCGGTCCTGTGTGGGACATGCAGTACTTTGGGGTTTGGAGGCCTCGGCGGGTTCAGAGGAGACCGGGGCCAATGGGGCCAAACAGATTAGAACAGATTAGAGCCACACTGTCCTTCTATCAACCAGGACCAGAAACCAGTGGGAAACGTGTTCTCGAGCTTATGTTTTAGTGTTTATTCAACTACTGTGAATCCAACAAACACATCTATAGACTGTATACAGATGAACAATGCTAACCCGCTAGCTCAATGAAGTCCATAAGGGAAGTGCTCATGGATGAAGTTTTGCGTCAACTCACTCTGACTCCTATTGACTTACATTGAAAAGTAAACTCCTCTAGCTCAGTAACTGTGTGTGTGTGTGTGTGTGTGTGTGTGTGTGTGTGTGTGTGTATGTGCGTGTGTGTGTGTGTGTGTCCGTGTGTGTGTGTGTGTGTGTGTGTCTGTGTGTGTGTTTATATTGTTACTTAAAATAAAGAAAATATGCAAAAAACGTTTTCTTCAAAGAGTAGATGCAGTATGAATGTTAGCATTTCTCCATGAACTTGTGCATTCAAACCCTGAAACTCAGAAGTCATTTTAAAAACCAACAAAAGTATTCAATAATTTTAATCCAATTTAACTGTTTATGGGAAATAAACAGTCTGAACCGACTGAGACGAAATCCCTCGAAACAGTCCTGAGTCTGAGTCCAAGGCCGTCTTCACTCCTTCAAACACAATAATAATCCCATCCATGAATTTTCCCCGTGTTTCTACTTTCCCCAAATCCAGTGTGACAGTCACCGTGGCGACCGCAGCGATGACACCAAACACAATGGCGAGGCCGGGGTGGGAAAGCCAAGCCCCAGATGTGAAAGAGATTGGGGAAAGGGAAAGTGCAATCTTGTGAGTTTGGTTCCAGTAAATCCGGCTCCACGACCTTGTTACCAGCCGTGGAAAGAATGCGGTTGATTAAGAGAAATAACGGCCAAAAAGACGGAGCGCAACCAGAGCAGCGGAGGACCAGGAATGCACCAAAAACAGCTGACGTCAAGTACATCACGCTGCAGAAACCGCAGCTTTCGAGAAACAGACGAGTCTGAAGTGTTCTGATCCAGGTCAAAGCAGAGTTTAAAGGAGACCCCTGGATCCGGCCTCTTTTATCTGGACAGATTCCTGTCAAACCACTGGAGCTAAGCAGGGCAGGGCCTGTTAGCACTGTGATGGGAGACCTCTGGGAACACCAGGTGCCACGGTGGGGCGGCTATGGCTGTAAACTGCCAAACTGTGGTTGTGTCCTTAGGCAAGACACTTCCCCCACAATAGAATGAGTCTGGTGTGTGTGTGAATGGTTGGTGGTGGTGGGAGCGGCTGATAGCAGATACTGATTGACTTGCTTCTGTCGGTGAGCTCCAGGGCGGCTGTGGCTACATCAGTAGTTTATCACCACTGTGTTTTGAGTCTTTGAGTGTCTAAAAAGCGCTGTATAAAACAGATGCATTTCTATTTAATCTCCAGCTGGAGTGGTTTCTCCAGTCGCCCGGACGTATTCCTTGTTTTGTCGTTAATGATTTGAGAATCATAACGAGACCATTTTTAGTTCTGCGCCACATGGTACTTTACCGAGATTAGCTCGACGCAGTGAGTTCTGGAAACCGGGATCACAGACTTTCTGATTGGTGAAACGGTGGAGGGCGGAACATCGAAATGAAAACAATAACAAGATTTACGGCCTGGAAAAGTAATTTAGAAATTCAAATATCTCTGAACTACAGTTAAAGAAGTATTGGAAAAGAGCAGTTTATTATTATTATGACTGATTAGGGCCCTTTAATGATGAAAGACTTACATATTGCTACATTGAGCCCCTAAGACTTTAATAATCATTTAATAATCCTAACATTCTGGAGCATATCGAGGATGACAACTACCCCCTCTTTCCCTGAAATTGTCAAACCTCCCGATACAAACACAAGTATCTTTGCTTCTAAACTGTAACACACTCCCCTCCCTTTGTACAGAATGAAAAGCAGTGTTATTGTAGTGAAGTCATACGTCCACACGATGTAATTGATGAGTTTTATCTGTGGAGCTGTCGTCTCCTCCCTCCTCCTTTGAACAGATCAGGGATGAGACCAAACCTGCTGCAGACCGACTCCACACGCACAGACTTCACACACATTACACAAGCCTCAAACTCCCAACTGCACAATGGTTCAGAGACGAGCCAACCCAGGAATATGCTCTCATAAAGTAGGCCAGAAATGTAAGTTCATAGTGTCTACTTTATTGAGATTTTAACTACGTCACAACACTGTCCCTCAGTCACAGACCTGCAGCTGATTTTATCTCCAGCCCAGGGACGTGCAGTCAGGGGAGGCAGGGGAGGCAGAGCCTCACCTGCCATTATTGGAAACTAATAATTATTTTAGTTTAAATATATAATTTATATCCACTGTCCTATGCTTTTAATGTATATTCGGCACGGTTCCCATCAGTTTTGATCATTTCTGAAGTCAAAATCGCCGAAATCCCGTTATTCCTATTCAAAGAGACGAGGTGAGGCAGCGCTCCTGCGTGCCTCACCCCAGACCGCTCCCTCACAGTGTGTGTGTGTGTGTCTGAGTGCACTCAGCTCGTGCAGTTGATATATCACCGTTTGTTTCAAATATCCTGCTTTAAAAACATTTTTTAAACTCCTCTTAGTGTTTAGTAGTGTATTGCACGTATGTGTGTACAATTTATATTTAGTTTAAGTCTTTTGATCGTAGATGAACACACAAGGAAAAAGCTTGGCGTGAGGCAGGCGGTATCTGTGCCTCACCGCTAGGGGTGATAGTGAGCATAAAGTTCATACCAGAGTTGCTAACAAACAATGAGCCCAAAATGCTATTTCTTTTGCTGGAAAATGGATGATTTGAATGAAGATTTTTTTTCTCAATTGGACTTTCAAACAAAGAAAGAATTAATATAGACTGGGAGACCACCACTGGACTTACGAGGTTAGTCCGGCTGCGGGGGAGGAGTTTGTTAATCTGTGTTTTATGTTGAACATTGACAGATACCGGCAAAGTAGTGCTTTTCCGAAAAACACTGATTCAAACACTGCTCAAGAGTTCTGCAACTTGTTTAAATTATTGTTTATGTTCCTCGCGTCTCTCTCTCCTCGCGTCTCTCTGCTCCTCTCTGTCTCTCTCTGCTCCTCTCTCCTCGCGTCTCTCTCTCCTCGCGTCTCCGTCTCTCTCTGCTCCTCGCGTCTCCGTCTCTCTGCTCCTCTCTGTCTCTCTCTGCTCCTCGCGTCTCTCTCTCCTCGCGTCTCTCTCTCCTCGCGTCTCCGTCTCTCTCTGCTCCTCGCGTCTCCGTCTCTCTGCTCCTCTCTGTCTCTCTCTGCTCCTCTCTCCTCGCGTCTCTCTCTCCTCGCGTCTCTCGCACCTGCGCTTCTTAAAGATGTTGTTTGATGCGGAGCAGAGTCAGCAGCTAGATTTGTTGTGAGATTATTAAAAGAAGCTGGTTCTCTTATCTTTACAGTATATAAAGTTTGTGGATGTCATTGCATTGGTGATTAAATGCTATTTTATTTGAATAATGATTGTAAATCTGACTTTTAAAGTCAGTGCCTCCCCAATCACAAACCTCACCGCACGTCCCTGCTCCAGTCACGCTAATATCTGGAACTCCTGGGACAAACATGTAGCTCCGCCCCTTCTGTCTAAAAGCTCCTGTCTTGGTCTTGTAACAGTATGATGTCATTGTACCACTATGACATCACAGTTTTCAGTCTTATAAAACAAAGTATTGCCCGCAACCTAGTTTTGGTAATTTCTCATGCGAAATGATGTCTTAACAATTACAGAGCTGTGTTTGCAGTCGGTAAATTTCAAATTCGGAAATTTTTTTTTAATTCTGTGTTGGTGAATTTACCAGTTTTGTAAAGTCAGAGATAACGACTGTTTTAGGGCTGTGCAAAAATACATTTAAATGAATAGAAGGAGAGGTTAGGAGAACTCAGGGGCTCACAAGTCAAAAGTCGCCGGTGCTCTTCTGGTGCGGCAAATAGAGGCACCCGAGCCAAGGCGTAAAGAATTGAATAGAGGAAGTCATGTGATAAAGATGAATGAAATGATATACGATCCTGGTGAAAGACAGTAGAGGGTTAGGGTCAGCCCGGTTTAATGTCAGTGTGTGTCTTTCACCAGGATTCTCTCAGTTATGTTTATTTGAAATTGAATTGAGGTGGTTTTGTTCCTAAGACTGTTCCAAACTCACCTTGTTCTTTGCAGTCCAGCCCGTTCTCGTGTGGAGCTTCTCCGTCCGAGCTCGGCCTGTCGTACGAGGCCTTCTACAACGGGAACAGGACGTCACAGCAACACAAAAACAACCACACATACACACACAAAACCATACGAACACACACAAAACCATAAGAACACACACAGAACCAAATGGACACACACAGAGCCACACATACGCACACAAAACCACACATGCGCACAGGAACACATAGAAACAGACATCTGAGTGTGTTTATGCAGCCACAGGGCCCTGGTCCAGGACTCAGACTCAGAGGACTGGTCTATTAAAAGAGAAAGACCAGAGAGAGCGACCAGAGAGAGAGACCAGAGAGAGAGACCATAGAGAGAGACCAGAGAGAGAGACCAGAGAGAGACCAGAGAGAGACAAGAGAGAGACCAGAGAGAGACCAGAGAGAGGGCAGAGAGAGAGACCAGAGAGAGAGACCAGAGAGAGAGACCAGAGAGAGACCAGAGAGAAGACAAGAGAGAGACCAGAGAGAGAGGCCAGAGAGAGACAGACCAGAGAGAGATACCAGAGAGAGAGACAAGAGAGAGACCAGAGAGAGGGCAGAGAGAGAGACCAGAGAGAGAGACCAGAGGGAGGCCAGAGAGAGACAGACCAGAGAGAGATACCAGAGAGAGAGACAAGAGAGAGGCCAGATAGAGAGACCAGAAAGAGAGCAGAGAGAGAGAGACAAGAGAGAGACCAGAGTGAGAGACCAGAGAGAGGCCAGAGAGAGACAGACCAGAGAGAGATACCAGAGAGAGAGACAAGAGAGAGGCCAGATAGAGAGACCAGAAAGAGAGCAGAGAGAGAGACCAGAGTGAGACGGACCAGAAAGAGACCAGAAAGAGACCAGTGAGCGACAAACCAGCGATAGAGAGTGTTTACACAGCCACAGGGCCCTGGTCCAGGACTCAGACTCTGAGGACTGGCCTAATAAAAGCCTATAATATACTCCGCTCCCTCATGGCCTGAATGCAGTTTAGCTTTATTTGGAAAAATGTTTTACAAGCCTCTGTGCATATTCTGAAAAAGTACCATGAAGCTTGTACCGTCATTTATTTACCAACAAATAGTTGGATTTAGATGTAATTTTAAAGGATCACAGTAAAGAACCATGGATGAATGTGTGAATAGGAAAAGCTCCAGGTCTTTACTGTTGGATTCTGCTAGAATGTAATAATAATAATAATAATAATAATTGAATGTATTCTCGATATTTCAAGTCAGCGTCTGGACCACGTCTCCGGGCCTGGAGTGTTGGCAAGAGCTGGTACCTTTTCTAAGTCTGGTTTAAAGATGGGGGAGGCAGATCTCGTGGGGTCTCCCTCCACGTGGCCGTTGGCGCAGACCTCTCTCATCACCTGCAAACACAGAATATGAAACTTTTATTTTTGAAAATCTTACAGCGCTACAATAAAACAGGATCGATAAAACGCTGGGACTGCATTTTTGGTCCCGATATTTGAACATCTGCAGTATCTCTGGGCTCGTTGAAATCTTGGTATCTCGTCCCGGGCAGATGGACTATTAACGTCTTATTAACCGAGCGCGAGGTCTGTAAGGAGAAATATCTTAATACCTTAATGTACAGACTGAGCCGTGGCGAGGTCTGTGCAAAAAGGCCAAGGTTTGATATTTCTCCGTACAGACCGAGCGAGGCAAGCGAGGTTAATAAATGTTTTATTATATGACTCTCGTTTGTGTCTTTACCAATGCTTTTGAGATATTTGTGATGTCCGACTTAGTTTTGTGTGATATGCGCTGCAGACTGACTGTCATGGTAACGGTCCGAGATGGGAAAATATCAGACCGCAAATCAACCAATCAGAGCGCGCGTACGGTCCAAGTCATATAATAAAAAGATGTATCAGGCCTTGATTGATGTTGAAGATTGTAAAAAACAGTAATCAATCAATCCTTTAGTGAGATAATAAAGGATTGATTGATTGATTGAAAACAAAACGTAAAACTCCAACATTGAAGTTTCTCCACAGAGGGACGAATCAAGGATTATCTTAGAACAATTTGAAAATGAACTGTAAACCATAAACATATAATTATAACTCTCTTTACTTCTAATGAGATCATGTCATCTGTGTCACATTTTTATTATTGTTTATTTGGTTGGGACAGTACATGTTCATGAACACATCACTCCGGATTGAATCTTGTGCTAATTTGCATCTGTTGTCCCACATTCGCACTCACAAACACACACTCATTCACCCTGAACTATTGCACATGTTTTTAGTAGTAGGGGAAACCGGAGTACCTACGCAGACACGAGGAGAACGTGCAAACTCCACTCAGAAAGGCCCTGTTCCAAACCCAGTACCTTTTTGCTGCGAAGCGAGAGTGCTATCCACTCAGCCACTGTACCGCTCATATTGGACCCAAACAGAGAGTACCAAGCTACAAACAACTACTCTAGCCACAGCTGCCCTGGGGCACACTGACAGAAGCGAGGCAACCAGTCTGTGCCACCGGCCCCTCCCACCACCACCAACCATTCACACACACACCAGACACATTCTAGGCAAGGCAAGGATAAAATCACAGTACATTAAAAAGAAAGATCCAAATATAAAATCCTTCACTTGTCGCACAGCTGAACAGAACTGTTAAACATTGTCAGAGAAGAAGCCTGTCTCACATTTTAAGGAAGATTGCTCCAGATTTTATCAGCATTAATCTGAAATGCAGCCTCCTTATGTTTAGTTCCGACTCTGGGACCAGCAGGACTTAGACTTAGGCAGACTTTATTGATCCACAGGGAAATTGCGTGGTCACAGTAGCTCACAAAGTATTTCAGAAATAAAATAACAATGAAGTAACAATCTGAAAATTAGAATAATAATAATAGGATAATAATGTGAGAATAGAATAATCTGGATGTAGGTATTTAGGTATATCCATATCTGTGAATATGTACACATTTAAATACAAGTAAACTAAACATCTGTTAATATACAAATATATAAACAACAACATATATAAACAAGGACAAAGCAGATACAGTTGAAGTGTGTTTCGATGTGTTTGTCTGTCACAGAGCGGGGACTACAGCAGGATGGAGTGTGGCCTGTGCTCTTGTCCCGCTCACTGTGGCAGCTGCAGGAGTCTGTTTGAGAAGGAGCCCCTTTAAAGTCCGGTGAAGTGTCTTGCCTGAGGACACAACCACAGTTCGTCACTTTAGAGCCGCAGCCGCCCCACTGTGGCACCTGGTGTTCCCAGAGGTCTCCCATCACAGTACTGACCAGGCCCTGCCCTGCTTTGCTCCAGAGGTCTGACATGATCCGGCTCATGTCTCGCTTCCGTCCTCACCGTGTGGGAATGGAACAATATCTGAACTTACTCCAAATGATCTACTTATGTGACACTAATGTACTGTACTTGAAGTAGTGAAAATACTGTAGACAATAATAATAATCCTCTTTAAAAATAAAAATGTGAAGTTCTTTCCAATCATATAAAATAATATTAAATGCTGCCTCCTAAAATTATGTGTTTATGTTTTGTTTTGTGGATATAAAAATGTGAACTAAAGTGCAGAGTTAGTGTTTTTTGAGTCTGCAGTCGTCTGCTTCTCACATCAGATTGCACAAGTTTTTACAAGCGCGTTGGAATCCTCGCGGCGTGCATGAGATCTGCAGAGGCCGGGCGCCGCGCTGCATTACCGTGACCTTGGTGGACTGGGAGACCTGGCAACCAGATTGCTCTCACCACGGCCGGACCTGGCAACGCACGGAGGGGAAAAAGTCAAGATGGCACACGACACACACCCTGTCTCTCTCTCTCTCTATCCGCAGGCTCCGACCCACGGCCTTGGCTCCAAGAGAGGGGAATGACAGGATCCTCAGGGAGAGAGGGAGGACTGGGAGAGACTGGGAGAGACTGGGACTGGGAGGACTGGGAAAGACTGGGACTGGGAGGACTGGGAGAGACTGGGACTGGGAAAGACTGGGACAGGGAGGACTGGGACTGGGAAAGACTGGGACAGGGAGGACTGGGACTGGGAAAGACTGGGACAGGGAGGACTGGGACTGAGAAGACAGAGGACTGAGGGGACTGAGAGCGCTTGGGACTGGAAGAACTGGGAGAAACTTAGAAGACTGAGAGGAATTGGAGAGACTGGGAGGACTGACAGGACTGGGAGAGACAGGGAGGACTGAGAGGATTTGGAGAGTCTAGGAGGACAGAGAGACTGGGAGAGACTGGGAGAGACTGAGAGAGACTGGGAGGATTGAGGGGACTGAATGGACTGAGAGGACTTGGAGAGTGTCATTTACATGTCCTCTTTCATATACCTTATTTGGGCCTCGTACCTACAGCAATTATATTATACGATTAGATTTTCATGACAACAGTAGGTTTGACACCAGCCTGCCCTTGTCTCCAAAGTCCTCAACCATAAGAATCGATCCTATATCGTAGCAAACCCAGGTCTTTCTATCCCCACAAGGCCCTGTACATGTTCTCTGCTCTCTACCAGTTTCTCCAAAGCTCCATGTGGGCATATAAATGTATAAATATATAAATACATCCAGCGGTGGTCTGCTCGCCAGACGTGCCCATACATTCGAGGAATTTCTTCAGAACCCAAAACCACATCTTCATAAGCAGATTTTTATCAACACAGATGTTAGAATACGCAGAACTACGTGTGAAACTTCCACTCGTTTCCATCCCCTGCTCTTTAATAAACAGCTAAGGCACCACAAGACGTCATGGCATTCCTAGTTTGGCATTATTTAAAACCCACTTCAGTGTCCTCAGGCTGACGCAGCTTCCAATCAATCCAACAAACATCAAGAATAAACTCCTAATGCCAAGACAAGACAAGAGAAGAAGCAACTTTTCTGGTGTTTTGTTTTGGTCAGATTCATCTAAATGTTGGGTCTAAAGGACAGACGTGATGATCCAGGACAACTGACATTCAACCACTTTATGGACTTCAACAAAATCGTAATTTGAACAAAACAAATCATACTGTATATTTATTTATGATCATGTATTGCGCTTATTGTTTTTCAAGCCATGGCAAACAAGAACAAAGTATTCATTAACTCAATTTTTTGGTTAATATTACACCTCTGCTGAAGGAAAAAAAATGGCATATAGTGAGAGGTTTTGATCCCACAGGACCATCATTAGGTGCTACTGATCCGGCCCCGCCCTCTGTTTCTGAGGGTCCGAGGGTCTGAAGGTCTGAAGGTCTGAGGGTCTGAGTGTTACATCACTGGGTTTGAAACAATGAAAAGCATTACAGTAACAGAGCCTCCTCTGTCCTGCATCTCTCTGGCTGCTTTATGAAGTACTTTACCAACTTCATTAGACTATTGAGTTTGTGACTAAACCCAGCCATCTACGAGTATTTTGAACATAGACTGTATATATTAACGAATGTAGTCACGCCTATCTCCGCCGTTCTAACTAATGGGCCAATGGGCTTTCATGGAGTGATTCAAAATGGCCGCGGGAGATGGAAAATGTTAAAAAATGGATCTGCGCATGCGTCAGCCGGCACGACCCCCATTCATTTAAACAAGTTACTTCAAAAATTCCCAACAACTAAACTAGACTGGTCCAAAAATATTCACTCCCCTCAGCATTGACACACATGTGGAATGGAGCTTTGGGCCAAGAGCCAACTTTTGGACCATCCTGTAAAGACGTTTTTGAGAGGTCTGCCAATGCTATATATTAGCAATTAGCAATTAGCAATTCTACTTCTGGGTCCACCCCCATGGGCCCGGGGTGGTATTGCAAGCATGTCGGCGCACGTCATTTTGGCCACTTTTGAGCCGGGACCCGCCCCCACTGGTTCTGAAGGATTCACATAAAACTGATGTACAGATAGCTATTGGCAAAGATTATATTTTTAGTTGGACTTCTTCCCACTTAATTTCAGGCTTGAACAGGAGATTGAAAGTGTGTCTCATGTGCACTATTGTAAATATAGTAAATTACCATAACTGATACCTTTCTGAGTGGAGTTTGCATGTTATCCCCGTGTATTTCTCTATCAATCTATCTTTCTTAATCAGTTTGAGCTCTTTACTCTTTGGGCGGATTAAAAAAACATTCTCAGCCTTAAATATAATGAACTTTCTACATTTAATTTAGCCACTCTGCAAAACTCATGAGCATAAAACGACACAAAGAACCTACAGCCAATATAAGAAAAGAACACAACAGAAACTAGGGTACTGGCGTTTACATTATTTCAAGTTGAAAAGATTATATTATTATAAGGGCGTCTACAAGTCCTGACTCCTGGTCGTGCTGCTGTTCCACTGGCGCAGACCAAACAGGAACTATTAGGAAAATACCTTTGCACAAACTGAATTCTAAAATAGCACACAATGGTTTTTCTCCAGCCAAGAACTCCTGAATGTTCCCAAGAGGAGAGCGGAGGTGAGCAGAAGGAAGCTGTGGTTTTAAACACACACGGCGAGGAACCAACACTGCAGAAATGTACTCAAGTATCATGTGATTTCTTGTTAGTCACTTGGCAATAAAAGGATTCTGATTCTGATTCTGAAGAAACAGGAAGTCAACAAACTAGGACTTGGCTTGGGCTCATGGTGCAAATAAGTTAACAAAGTAGATAGAGATAAAGGCATGCATACAAATCTTCATACATGTTCTACTGCTGTATATACAAGTACACACTGAGTACTTTTTGCTTGTAAGGGAAAAGCTCTCGACAAAAAAGCTCTCCACACAATATTCACTCAGTTTTGATACGTTTTCTATGCATTATTTTTCACATTTTGCTACAATGGTAGGAGGGGGTTAGGGACAGAAAAATAATGAAATTAACATAAAAAGGGGCTCATCTGTTCTCATTGTAAAAGTTATTTTAAGAAATGTTATGGAGATTTGTATATTTATGCAGGCCTTTACCTATTGTTACTCTATAAACTTTGACACCTTGAGCCAAAGCAAATTCCTAGTTTGTGACTTCCCGTTACTACTGATACTAATTAGGATTTCTGATCAGGACAAGCCCATGCGTTCTTCGAGGTAGAATCTTCTAGAAAACGTCTGCTGTATCCTTGTCAACAGTACAGCATAAACAACAAATGTAATCTAATGCAAACTTTGTCATGACTTTATTTAATGTCTGCAGGGTGGTGTTGTTGGGGGTGGTGGGGGGAGTTTAGGGGGTTCTAGGGGGGTCTTTGAGAGTCTTGAGGAAGATGTAAAACAAGGTGCGAGTACAAGAGATAAAAGATGAAAGAGAACTTGAACTAAACATCCTTAACATCAGAGGTGGAGCTGCAGGTTTCTCAAACAGGAAGCCGTTCATCACAAGCTATTCTTAAACATGAAAATAACCTCACTACTTACAAGCAACTCAATATTATCTGGGTGGAAAACTCCAAGGACACGTGAACTTAGGCCCAGACTGAAGTATGTGCTGCACAGATGTTCAATGCTGTGGTTTTGACTTTTCTTGATCGAATCAGCTGCGTGCGATGGAGGTTTGCTTTTACAATTACAGAAAGCGCACAGGTTTTCTACGGCCTCATCTAACCTAGCTGGAGATGATTTGGAAGCATGTACAGCGTGCTAACTTCAGGTTCACATTCAGGACACTTCAGGATTTGCTCATAATGTAGGTTATGCTAATTAAAAAGTGCCATAATTATCAAATGAAAAAATTATTGACACAACAAAAAGAGCCCGAGGGTGGTACTCTGGGGAACACCATTGATGCTTTTGATGCCCCAGTCATTTAGTGGTCCTGCATTCGATTATAACTGGATCCCATTTCAGATTAACTTCAATTACTATCAGAGTATAGGCTGAGAGACGTGTGCATAAATCACATATTTAAAACAAATGTAATGAAATGTGGCATATTTGTTAGAGAGGCTGATGTCTGACAAAGATGCAGAGATTAACTTAAATCTTGTAATTCTCGCTTCCACTTCAAAAATACGTTTAAAAAGTGCCATTTTGGACGGTGACATAAACTCTTGAATCTTAAAACATTTATATAGTTGCTTTTCTAAGTTTGCTAAAGTATAGATTCACTTGAACTAATGGCATTTATGTGGGCAAAATAAGCATTAGCCTTAGCCTAAACCTAAAGAAATCAGACTTGTAGTAAATGTTATGCATTTCTGAATGTCACTCAGAGATATATCGATATATTGATATTGAAGCATTTACAGCTAGCTAAGAAACAAAGCAACTTCTAATGTTGTATAGTTTGTGTTCTCCCTGTGTGCTCTGACTACTGTCCTGTATTTGCGGTGCAACATTGAAATTTCCCCACTGTGGAAGGAATAAAGGTTCTCTTACCTTATGACTACTGAAACCAATGTATTGGCTCCAAGTCATTTCACTACATGTTATTGGCCGTGTTGCTATCGTTGTATGTGACCAATAAATTATTTTTGTATCTATCTATCATTAAGTGGTTCACTGTTGGACCATGTTTATATTGCTCCACATGGATTTAGCTGTCCATAATAATGGGATTCTCTCTGGTCCTGGGTGTTTTGCGCTATGACTTCGAAAACTTATTTTGAAAGTCGGAGTTTGTTTGGACCTTTTGACTCCATTGTGAAGATCTCACACAGTTGCAGTATATCTATTAACTTATTGTCTCCTCAAATCAGATCATATTCACTAAAGCCACTGTTAACAAAATGTTCAGGACCCAAAACATCACCCTGAGGGACACCATTATCACATAAACACTGCACAACCAACAAGACAACAGCTTATATTTGTAGGAGCTCTTGGGTACCTTCAGCCATTCTTCCGCCTGCTCTTTGCTATGAACAGCCAGCACCAGCGCGTCTGCCCCCTGGTGGACAATCTTGAGTTCGTGCTTCTTCTTTTTGCCGTCTTTGGGAATGTGAGTGATGCTGCAGCCGGATAAGGTGAGCTCCATCTGCGGGGCGTGGTCCTTAGACGACTTGTAACACTGATAATAATGAAAACAAGTCAAAATCAGTCAATTCAATAAAAGTTGTTTAATAATGAGTATGTTAGTGGTTAACAAGTGCATTATTTGTCTTATTTATTTTTGTTAGCTAGTGAAACGAAGAATTCTTGTACAAGGATATATTTTCTGACTTGACACAGTTTGAAATTGGATGAAAATGAATAAATATGTGTAATTTTGCTAATAATCTAAAATCTATTTTGACGGATTTAACCAATAACGCCTCTCCTTCACACATGGCACGAGGACGTACAACGGTAAAGAAGAATCAGTGAAAACAAAATTGAAAAAAACGTCTATTCCAAACTAAAGGCTTGGATAATGGCGTTATAAAGTCGTATTTTCTATGTAAGAATTTCTTTATTTTCTAACTGGGCAGAAAAAAAACATCCAGAAAAAACCATTTGTACATTATGAAGGTTTTTTGGATTGTTATTTATTTGGTATTTACCTTATAACGGTAAATCTAAATATATACGTATGGCCTTGACGATTCTTTGAAAGCTAGTTTTTGGCTCTGAACAGATAATGTAACGACGACAAGGATAAAAATACTATCACCACTCATTTCAATAGTCGACACTAGGCACTCACCAGCAGTTTATTATCTTTGATCACACACAGGAGTTTGGTCCACTGTCCGAAGCGTTTCTTGCGCAGCAGGAAGGCACAGATGCGGGCGTCTTTCACCAGGTGCATGGACGCCTCCTCTGACGGCCACTGGTGACGTGTCTTCTGACCCTTACCGTCCTCCTCCTCTTCATCGTACGACTCGTAAGAACTGCTCATGGCATCAGAATCGTAATCTAAAAGTGGGATTGAGACGGTTAAATGGGAATGACTGGAAAAAAATTAGGTGAAACAGCCGTAAAACACATTATAATTGTTGTAATGAGCTGTTTGCTATTGTTTTGTGTTGTGTTGTCAGGATTAAGGATGACGAAACACAATGTCATATTCATCAGAAACTGTGGAAAGAGTGTATGGCATTATAAGCTACAACATCTCCATGGCAACAAGTGTGTAGCCCAGAAGGAAAGTTATACAAAACCTTTAATCTGCCATTTTATGTCCAGCATTTGAATAGTCATTTGATTAAGTCCATAAAAGTCATCTGCCCCTTATGGACCAATGGCTCTGTGTGTTTTGTGTTTTTTATGTTTTGTGTCTTGTTATCCGATCTGTTTTGGCGAGTCGACGGGTTGTAAAGTCCTCTGGGAATATTATGTTGTGATTTAGGTCTACACAATAATACATTGAATTTAATTTTATGAAGTTGGTCACATAATAGTGGATTTACAACATATTCAAATATGATAAAAATGAAAGTAGAGGTAAAGGTGCACTTTATTAATCCCCATAGGGAATTTCATCCTCTGCATTTTAGCTATCCTGATGCTGCTAAGGCTTACGTCAGGAGCAGTGGTCGCCGTAGTAACAGCGAGCGGGGACCCATCTCCATATGTTGATTCTCGGCTTGGTTAGGACCAGAGCTGGAGGATTTTACCTAGTGTGCATGTTTTTAGTTATAGGGGAAACCAGAAAACCCGAAGAATACCTACACAGGCATGTGGAGAACATGCAAACTCCACTCAGAAAGACCCTGTTCCAACCAGGATTCAAACCCAGGACCTTCTTGCAGTGATTCAGAAGTGCTAACCACCGTACAGCCTTTTGTACTTAGTTACTTTAGCATACTTGAGTAACGATTTGAAGCTAACCCTAAACATTGAGATTGGGAATGTCCAAACTTACTGGATGTGATGTATTCAGGGGCCTTCCCGGGGCTCAGAGGGACAGCTTCTTCGTAGTAACCTTCTGGGAGCGAGGAGCTGGGTAGAGGGGGTGGACCATGATTTGGAGGCTGCAAAAAAAAAAGAAAGAATGCATTTTTATTTTCTCGTTTTTGCGTCACCAGAAACCCATTGCACCAAATACAGATCCAACAGTCATCTAATACTGTTCAGAAACTGGTAGCAGCTGTTGATAAAGCTGACAGAAAGTGCAGACAGAAAGTGCAGTTCCACAATTTTCCCCATTATCTGTCAGAAAAATACTGTATACAGTGCGGTCGATGTGTGAAAAGGCTTTTGGCCACACCAATGGAAGTGAAAATGGCAGTTAGCTAATGCTTTTACTGTGCAATACAGCATGGAACTCGCTGTAATAAGTAGCAGGAAATAAGCCAGTACCAGCAAACTTCAAAGCGGGCAGAATGTTGTCAACCAATAAAAAAACATTATAAGACCACACGTTTATTAGAAAGTATGATCAAGCTGGAGATATTTTCCTTCCCTTTTATGAAAACGCTTTTGGGTTTCATTTTGAGTGGGTGCAGTCATTTTCCACAGAGGAGCCACTTCCAAAAGAGAAGAACCTTTTCACATGTTTACGGCTGATTGCGATGCTGCCGCGCTAGCATCTATCGCCGAGGCAGAGGAGGTTCGAAAGAGATTGTGTGACAAGTAATGTACTGTCTTAAGCACTATTTTCTCCTCCTTCCTACTTTATCTGTCTGCATTATTAGGATTTTAACTGTAGTCTGTTCATTGCTATTCACCCGTTGTCCCATTGTCTGTTTCATGGTGCGACGATGGGACCTCTGAACCTGGCCTCCTCCATCTACACCTGCGGACTGCCCTTCCCAACCCGCCTGGGGGCTGCTTCAGTCCTGCACCGGACCTCTCCACGTTCTACAACCGCTGCATGGCCTTTGTCCTCGTTCTACAGTCTGAGTCCTGGATCTACAGCCCGTCAGTGTGGAACGTCTAACAAGAAGGACTGCAATGATCCAGGACACTTTAACATTCTACAACATGTATGACATTTTATCAACATTGGACATTGGTCTCTCCCTATGGACCAATACATACAGTATGGGTTCTATATTCTTATCTGTTGATTTTCTGATCTGTGTTGGTGATTTCAACTGTTTCAATCCTCTGAGATGACTGCTGTCGTGATTTAGGGATTTTGTGGATCTGCTTGAAAAATAGTTGAAAGTTTTGCCTCCTGTATTAAATTCGAGTATCTAATATTAATTATCAAGAAGGATTCCATGTCTCTTCATCTCCTTTCGTGTTGTATCCATAGGTGCCACACTGGGGCGGCTGCGGCAGAAAACTGTGACTGACAGATGGTGGTCGGTGGTTCAGATGGTCAGTCTGTGCTGTGGCTGAAGTAGTTTATCACCAATGTGTGTGGAGTGAAAGAATAATACCATTTCAAGCATCTTTGAGTGTCCAGAAAAATCTATTCAAAACCAATGCATTATCAAATTACTGTATACCCGCTCTCACTACTATTACCCCTCTGTGGCTGTGACCTGTCCTGCTCCACCCACAGGCTACTCCACCTCTGCTGCTGTGACCTGAAGGGCTGTTGCTGATTATTACTATTGTGAGCTTTTCTGAATGATACATTTTATTTTTTATTTTTACTGCTACTGGACACCTGAATTTCTCCAACGGGGATCAATAAAGAATCTATCTATCTATCTATCTAGCTATTAAGTCACCTGTATATGGACTAGTGTTAATAACTGGCTGTTTATGAGGGCTCATGTGTCATTGTTGTTACTGAATCCACTACCACATTTAAAAACACACAATCAACCTAAAATCATTTGTTTTGAAACCATGGAACAAAACCCAATGCAAAAACATCTCACCCTCAGGCCAAAGTTTGCTTCTCGTCTCGTACTCTCGACCCACCCTGCTCATTGTCAACGCCTTTCTTTGCTCGTCTCATTTCAGTCTTTTCAAGTGTCTTTCCAGCCAGGCCTCTACCCGAAACCTTATCACGTCTCCTGAGGGGGAACGCAGCGGTACATGAACTAATTTCTTGGCAAACCTACCCCGGTCTGCTAAGCGCTCAGCTCGCCGCCAGCTCTCTCTCTCTCTCCTTCTCTCCCTCTCTATGAAGAATAAACGTTTAAATGGAAACAAAAGACTTGGGTTAAACAATACGACATTCCAGCTCGGAGACGTGGGTGTGAAAATAGACAAATGGGAGTAGACTGTTGACAGAACGTGCACTGCTTCGTATCACCTGCGATTAGAGCTTCCCTGTAACAATAACATTATAACACTAATACCACAGTTTGTCTTCTTGCTGGAAAAGTGGAGCAGGGGGAGGAGGGTTGAAAAAGAGCAGAGAATGTGATCCCACCGCTGTGCTATTCAGTGACTCAAAGTTTAGGGACTCTTGAGGTGAAGACGTCTGTTTGCTTACACAGCACACACACTTGAAACGAGTTGAAAGACGAGACACACAAACACGAGACTGGTGCTTTGAATCTGGGCTCAAAGGGTCTGGATGCAACGTTGTGCCTAAGGTTGTTCAAGTGCACGCAGCGAAAACGGTAATAAAAGTGAAGTCATAAATAAAGAGTGGATTTTGTGTTGAATTCAGTACATTCTGTCTGTCTTTAAACCATCTTGGACATTTATTACTAAGAAGAAAAAGGAGATATCTACAGTTTGTGTAGTCGCTCGGGTCTCTCTCTCTAGAATTTCTCTCTCAAGTCTCTCTCTCAGGTCCCTCTCTCGGGTCTATCGCTAAGGTCTCTCTCTCGAGTCCCTCTGTCGGGTCTCTCTCTAAGGTCTCTCTCTCGGGTCTTTCTATAGCGTCTCTCGAGTCCCTGTCTCGGGTCCCTCTCTAGGGTCTCTCTCTTGGGTTCCCCCCTTCTCGGGTTCCTCTCTCGGGTCTCTCTCTCTCGGGACTCTCTCTCTGGTCTCACTCTGGGGTCTCTCTCTCTCTCTCTGGGGTCTCTCTCTCTCTCTGGGGTCTCTCTCTCTGGGGTCTGTCATATAGCACTATTGCCATGGATTCCCAACGACTGACAAACTGGTTCAAAACATGGAAAAGACACAAAAACATTGCGAGCCAAATATGAAAAGTCAATGAACAAAGACAAACTGTTGGTAAACTGTTTCCAATTTGAATCAAAGTGAATGATGTAAAAACCCACCAGCCCTCGTCATTTCTAAATTCCTGAATATTCTCTAAATTCTCTACAGTCTACAATTAGAGGCAAACTAAAAAACCCGATCATGTCTGGTTTTGGATTTTAGTTGAAAGCTAGCAGTAAGTATTTGTTTTTGCCATTTGCATTAGATAGTAAGTAGAAGTAAGGGCCTTTCACAGACCAGTTTCACAAAGACATCTAAAAGAGAGCGATCACAAATGCAAGTATAAACTAGTGATAGAACCAAACCGTCTCAAGAGCTAGAACTAGTCGCATGGATATTATTACATAGCTACACGTCTGTGGTTTCAAAGTAAGGTCCTCCAGCTTTAAATGGTAGTCATGTCATGGTGTCACGGTCTCCTGGACAAAAAAGAAAAATCTAAATCCATCCACAGCTGCATGTCCAGGAGCAGCACAGAAGTCCCGTCGGAGAAGCCAGCATTCCAGAGACTTAATGTGTAGTTAGAGTGTGGTGCGGACTCCTGACCTCGGCCTGAGTGCTTTGAGTGGGAGGTTGGACGGACGCTTCGCTTTTTGGCCTGAAAACGACATCCATTCTTTGCGATGCGTTGGCAGTCGGGGTCTTTTCAACTCCTGTCCCTGGTTGCTGACATTATTCATGACCTGATCTTACATAAGCATCTGTCTGTGTAAATAATGATTCCTGCCTATGTCTTCTTTGTCTGTCTGTGACCTTTTTATGACATGTCAACAAAAGTAGCATGTAAGCTAGTGCAGGGGTACTGTGAATTGCTATTTTGATGCTATAAATGTGAATATTCACTCCTCTAACTGAAAAAATGTGTCCAAACAGGGATAGATTAAGTTAATCAATTAGTCACAAGTTATTGCTTATTTAAATAGTTACTAATTTAATACTTTGGGTCTCTCTCTCTCTATTTTTCTGGTTTCTGTCACACTCTCTGGTCACACTCACTCTCTGGTCTCTCTCTCTGGTTTCTCTCTCTCTCTCTGGTCACACTCTCTCTCTCTCTCTCTGGTCTCTCTCTCTGGTCTCTCTCTGTCTGGTCTCTCTCTCTGGTCTCTCTCTCTCTGGTCTATGAAGCGAGCGGACTCGCTCGCTTCATAATGATGAAGCGAGCGAGTCCGCTACTGAACACAAATGCCCTACTCCTGTTGTATCATTCATTCATTATGTCATATTTATTTTATTGTATTGAAGTTTGGGGAAACTGTTACTAGTCTCACTTACAACCTTTAGTCACTTTGCAAAAGAAGGCTATTAGGATTGTATCAAATGTTCACTATAGATATCATTCACACCCATTATTTTTAGACTTGGGACAACTCAAACTTCTAGACTTGATTCAATTTAAAACTGCTCAAATAATGTTTAGGGCATCGCAAAACTCCCTCCCACAGAGTTTGCAAACACTATTCCATGATAGAGATGCTCACCATCAGTATCAACTAAGAGGAAACAAACAACTGAACTTACCTAAATTTAGAACGACTTTAAAATCAATGTGTATCTCCGTGTGTGGAGTTACTCTGTGGAACAGTCTATCTGATGAAATTAAAACGTGTCCAAACCTGATTCTATTTAAAAGAGTTTATAAAAAAGAAATAATGAAGAAGTACAAGGAGGAAAGAGATTGATGCCCTCAGCACTGAGCAGTTGGAGGAGAGAGGTGTATGGTCAGGGAGGGTTTGGGCCTGTGTGTGTGAGTGTGTGTGCGTGTGAGTGAGTTGTCTTGTCCCATACCATTGGTGGTAGATGTTGTATTGTTCTTACTGTATGTACTGTACAGTAAACATTTGTATTATGTGTTTTTACCCAGCATGGTATTGTTTCCGTCTTATTGATTGTCCTGTGAGTCTGGGTGAGGGGGGTTGGATTAATATAAGCATTCTGCTTCCTCCAACCCCTT